CCCCATCTTCCTTCCGAGGAGTGGCTGGTGGGTTTGAACCGCCAGCCTTCTGGTTAGCAGTCAAGTGCCTTAGCCACTATGCTACCAGAGCTCTGTGTTAATTGGTTTCCCTCTTCTTTGTTGAAGAGGGTCTTTGCAGTCCTTCTGCCTAGTCCGCCATCTTACCGGAACTCCCCCGATCATGTATTCTAACACAGTACATTTATTATTGTATTTTTAAAGGAAAAGTAATATATATTCATTGTGGAAAACTTGGCAGATATAGGTAATCAACAGGATCTCAATAACATTTTGGTGGATGTCCTTCAAGTCTTCTTTCAATGCATATATCTATAATGTATATGTACATATATGTATACTTTATTTTTACGAAACTGGAATCAGATTTAAATTCTGCTTTAAAAAGACATTTCCCCCTCATTAGAATATTATGAATATTTGTCTCTAGATAATTCATTAGTCCCTGATACAATCACATAATTTTTAATAACTTGACAGTATTTCATTTCATGGGTGTATCATAATTATTTAACATAATCTCATTTTAGATGTTCAGATTGTTTTCAGTTTTTCTTAATTAAAAAAAAAGTATGAGCATATTTTATGAATCCTTTCAGTAAATGTTATTGAGTACATACATACTCTGTCAGGCATGTAATAGCCATTTCTAGGGATAGCAACATGCCTAAATTTCTGTGTGTTTAAGGTTTTCAACAGGTAGGTACTGTGAGAAGGAAGGCATGAAGAAGATGATTGTGTCAGTTTTAAATCTGCACAAGTCCATTTTATAAAATAACAAGGTGGTTCTAAATTTTTCTGTAAGCCTTCTTGGAATGCAACATTATCAACTAATCTTTGGGACTCCCTCTTATGTTTGCCTGCCTTTAGAATAAACCTAAATTTATTGATCCACCTCCATGAGGGGAAGGGGAAATCTTGAAAATCACTTTTTCGTTGTTCTCAACTTTTATCATCAAAGCCCCCTAATCTTGCCTCTGCTTGTAAACCTCCTGTGGCCAATTTGTATGCTGAAGTGAAACTGAATCTTAGACCTTACTGCAGACCTGCTGAACTAGCATCTGCATTTTATTTATTTGGTTTTAGAAATTAAAACAAACATTTTAACAAAAAGGAATAATTTTATTGGAGGAAATAGGGTTACAAGGCATCCTACAAGAGGCTGCAGCATATGACCTCAGCATCTCTGCATTTTAACGTGAATCCATACACTGTAGAGTTTGAGAAGCGCTAATTTAGACCTTGACACAGTATTTGACCCTGGGTCTCCTCTCTGAACAGCAGAGGTAAGGAGACTAGACCAGCTGTACCACTGTTCAGAAACGGGGTCTGCAGATCCACTCAGACACTTTTCACCAAACCCCAGTCCTGCTTGAGCAGGAAGTCAGCCACTGAAGATAGGCTACCCTTAGGAGAAGACATAAGGGACCATTGGAAGCTGCTCAGCAGGGTGAAAAAGGGTGGAACAGGAAAGGGAGGAAAGCAAATTCCTGGACTACAAAAACCACAGTTTGTCTAGGTGCTACTTTCTCCTTTATTTAGCACATAGTTTTGTCCTGAGCCATCCCTTTGCTGACCTTTTATCCTTTTGTGATTTGCTCACATTAAAATGCCACCACCTAAAACTTTTCTCCATGAAGTAGAAAGTTTAAGTTGTCAGGGACCGAATGTGCCTGTTTTTTTTCCAAGTTCCGGCATTTCCCTGCTTTTATGGTGTAGTCATGGTGAAATCTGAGTCATCTGAAGATGGTGGCGTTGCCAAAGAACCCGGGAAAGGAGCTGCAGACAAGCCAGGATGGTGAAGACTTGGAGATACACAACTGTTGGGCACCAGGGGCCACCAGGCCTGTATCTCACTAGGGGGGCTGTTATTGTTAGGTGCCCTCAGTTGGTTCTGACTCCTAGGGACCCCGTGTGTGCAGAGTAGAACTGCTGCACAGGGTTTCCTGAGCTGTGGCCTTTACAGAAGCACATCACCGGGTCTTTCTCCGTGTAGCTGCTGGGTGGGTTCTAACAGCAGACCTCTCAGATCGCAGCCAAGTGCTTCACTGCTGTGCTCCCACGGCTCCCTAACAGGAGAGCTACCCAACTCTAACTGTATTTATACAGATCGCCCTAATGAATTGTTCTCATGAATACTTTGTGTAGCAAATGCAGGTGGAGACACCAAAAGCTTCTCCCCAGAAAATTGTTTATCAGAGTTCCAAGTAGCTGCACCTAATTTTTGTGTGTACCTGAATCTTTCTTTTCTTTAAGCTGAGCAACCACATTTCCCCGGAGAGGAAAGTAATAAATCTCAAATATTTTTTAAGGAATAAAGGCTTTCTTCTGTCCTCATTCATACACATTTAACTGCCCAGAAAATACACTCATTTGGCTTGTGTGTGTGTGTGTGTGTGTGCGCGCGCAAGAGAGTGTGTGGTGTTTGCCGTTTCTCTAAAATTCTGACTCATAGTCTGGAGGACAATGATTGATTTTTTTCCACTTCACATAGCTGCTATGAATTTCTCCTCACAAGGATGGTCCTGTTTATTCACTCTGGGCATCATTGGTAAAGCGCTAGTGTAAACAGTCCCAGAAACCCAGTGGGCCAGGGAAGTGGGCACCCTCTGTTCTCCGCGGGGAGGACGGATACCGGTTGGGCTGACCGCATTTACAGACCTGTGTCTGACACCCTGGATATGCGGTATTTGCTAGAGCAGCTAGAAGCGCCATTGTGATGAGGGTAGGAGGGGTGGAGCCACAAAGTCCTGTCTCAATTTAGATCTCTCCCACTGCTTTTAGGCGCGCCCATTTCAGATTGCTAAACTCAAGAGTCAGGGAAAAAAAATTAGGGAGGAGGTGGAAAGCCACACCCCGCAGTGCCCGCGAATTTTCCCTGCAGCCGGCCGACGCCTGGGTATACGCCGCGGAGATGCGGGGCCCGTCGTTCCTAACCACCGCTTACCTTCTCTGCGTGTGGACCTCCGCACTGGCCGCGGCCCCCGGGTAGGAGCGCGAGCGCGCGAGGCGAGCGCCCAGGGCGCGGTGGGCAGCCGCCTTTGGGCCTGGGCCTGGGGGCCGTGGGGGCCCTGGGATGTGTCTGTGGCTGTATCACAGGGGGTGGGCCACGGCCGGAGGTGAGGCAGTCCCCAGCAAGGCACTGGCCTGGAGAAATGACCACATGCCGCTTCAGTGTAATCTCCGTAGGACGGTTACTTTCTTCACCCATGAAATTGTTTAAGCATCTCTGACGTTCTGGCTGTCCAGAGAGGGTCATTTTTTAGTCCATGTTGCCTCTGTCTTTTGCTTCACAACTTTTTGGTCCCATATAACCAGTCTTCCTCTCTCAAGAACTCATGATATGTATTTTTTGAAGCAGGGTGCTCAACTTTGGTACTACCAAGGTGTGGCTGAGGTGACTGAAGTGTGGGTTCAGGTGCAAGTACTATAGGAAGATAACTAAGGAGCGTTCTGAAATACAGGCAGTCCGGGGTTACGGGTAAAATCTATTACATTAAAAATTCTGGGTACATACAGTGGTTCATAATAACAAACAGGTGCTCCTTTGCCACATGTGTCAAAACATTATTATAAATATTACTGTATTATGTTAAAGATGCTTTAGTGTGTCTGGAAGTGTTTCTTTAATGTTTTTATGCATAGAAAGATACACATATACTATTTACTAGGACATTTGACTGACAAATGCACCTAACTATTCAGATTTGGAAACACATTAGACTTAAAGACAGATTTAGGAACTGAACTGGCCCATTATCTGGGGACTGCCTATCATGAAAGTGCCTCACTCTTAAAGGGTTTTGCAATTGAGATCTAACCCTTAGCTTGAGCAGAGAGAAAATGCTGTTTTTGTGATTTTTAAAAAATGTCCTACTATAGCTGGAAATTTTACCACTGGTAGTTTATCTTTAGATGGTGTATTTCAGTCAGTGGTATAAGTTAGATGACATTTTCTTGGGTGAATGAGTGCCCAAGCATAAAGGTTTGAGTAAGAAACAAGCAAATCCTAGGTTTTTTTTTTTTTTTTACTTAGAATAAAATCACATTGGGATGAGGTTGTCTATAAAAGAGAGGCTTAGAGGCTTATACTTTGTACTTCTGCATGTGCCAGAGTAAGCCATTCACACTGTAGCTCATCCTGTGTTGTTTGTGGTTTATAAAACAGAAATAATAACACAGGCCTTCCATAGTAGTAGTGGTACATGAATTACTGAATTAAAATTGATTTATGGAATTATTGTTCTTTCAGTAGCATCTCAATGCAGTTGTTAAATACAACAGTAGGGCAATACGAATCAGAACAATTGCGATTGGCATAACATAGGGAGTCTTTATCTAGTGAAATTTTAGGGTCACAAAAGAATGAAGAGGTAAGGATAAAACACTTTGCTTTTCCCTTGTTGGGAACTCTTTAGGCCCCGGTTTCTGGTGACAGCCCCTGGGATCATCAGGCCAGGAGGAAATGTGACTATTGGAGTGGAGCTTCTGGAACACAGTCCCTCACAGGTCACTGTGAAGGCAGAGCTATTGAAGATGGCATCAAATGTCACTATCCCCATCCTGGAAGCAGAAGAGGTCTTTGAAAAAGGTGAGAAAAACAGCTGTGAGGCATTGAGTCTTACCCTTCTGCAGTGATAATTGGAATATCTTAACAAAGCCATGTGTTAGGTAGGGTAACAGAAAATTTTCAAACCTGCAGTGGCGTCTCTAATGCACTTTTAATCCTCACTCATGTAAAATCCAAAATGGTACTCCTGGATGCTCTTCTAAGTGGAGATTCAGAGACCCAGGGTCCTTCCATTTTGTGGCTCCATCATTATCAGTAGATGGCTCCCAAGTTGGCAGGGGAAGAGCATGGAGTTTCTCATGTAGCAGGTTTTTATGGGCCAGGCCTAGAAGTGGCTCATTCACTTCTCATATTCCAGTGGCTACACCTAGCTCCCAAGGAGGCTGGGAAGTGTAGGGCACCAGGTGCCCTAGAAAAGGAAACAGGCACACTTAACAGCTAGTCTCTGATACAAGCCATTTTTTTTTTTTTTTCATGCAGAGGATTTTACTAAATAGGCCTCAGATAAGGAAAAGAGAAGCTATATAATAATTAAAATTCAGTTTAAAGAATGTTTCCCAATTTTTAAATAACAGGAAGACATAAAAATAATGTGGAAGTGGGAGCTACTTATATAAAACCAAAGTCACTTGTTTCAAGTTTGGGCAAGGATTAAATTGGGTCAACGAATGTCTTCTTTTTCAATACTGAGGGAAAATTTATCTCTTTTTGTGATAAATACTTCCATTTATTTTCCATCAAAATGAATATTTATTGTATTTTGTCTTCTACTTTTGAAAGTAGTACATGCTTAGTGCTTGTTGTTGTTATGTGCCATCGAGTTGGACCCAACTCATAGTGACCTCTCCTTGGGTTTCCGAGGCGATATCTCTACGGAAGTAGATCGCCCAACCTTCCTTCCGAGGAGTGGCTGATGGGTTTGAACCGCCAGCCTTCTGGTTAGCAGTCAAGTGCCTCAGGCACTACGCTAGTGCTTACAACTCAATATATACAAGAAGTAATTGAAATAAACCAAAATTGCCCCTGATCTTACCACCCAAAGGCAGATACTTAACCAGAAGCATGTTTCAATGTTTAAATAGAAGTCAGAAACTGAGGCATATTCCAATAACGTTAAGAATTATCTTTTAAAACATTGTATAAGGGGTGGATAGGATTCCACAACAGTTTGTCACATAAATGTTTATGCTATATCAGCAAAGAGAATTAACATGATCATAAAAACAAGATAAAATAAAAGTTTGTGGTTCTTTCCCTACCAGAAATTGAGTGACTGGGTGGGTAAGTTTGGGATAGAACAAGTCAGGAAGATCAGGAAGAGGTGATGTGTGTGGGGGCTAGGCCACTTTCTCCCTCATGTCATGGAAGTTGGAAGTCTTATTTCCCTGGAGAGGTAGTGTAGGTTAGTGCTAAGGTCTGAGTTTGAGTCCTAGCACTTACTCTATACTACGGTAATTGAGTGATCTTGGTCCAGTTCCTTAACTGCTCTAAGCCTCAGTTTTCTCATCTGTAAAACTGGGAGAATGAAATTTACTTTCAGGACAGTTATAAAGTTAAATTGAGTATATAACATCTGTCATGGACTGTATTGTGTCTCTCAAAAATATATGGCAAGTTGGCCAGACCATGATTCCCAGTATTGTATGATTGTCCTTAATTTTGTGATCTGATGTAATTATCTTCCATTTTGTGATGTATTATAAACCCTAACCTCTGCCTGTGGTTAATGAGTAGGAATTAGGTTATGTTTATTATATTAATGAGGCAGGATTAGGGTGGGCTGCATCACCCTTATGAAGTCACCACCCTTACTCAGGTCACAGCCTTGATTTAATGTAAGGAGAGTTTCCTTGGGGTGTGGCCTGTGTCACCTTTTATCTTATAAGACGTAAAAGGAGAGAAAAGCCAGCAGAGAGAGAGAGAGAGAGAGAGCATGACCTCAGTACCACCAAGAAAGAACTGGGAGCAGAGCACATCCTTTGGACCTGAGGTCCCTGCACTGAGAACCTCCTACAACAAGGAGAAGATTGATGCCAAGACGCATGGAGATCTCCAAGGGACACTAAACTCACAGATATTGAAGGGAGACAAGCATCTTTCTCCAAAGCTGATAAAGAGAGAGAGCCTTCCCCTAGTGTGGGCATCCTGAATCTGGACTTCTAGCCTCCTAAACTATGAAAGAATAAATTTCTGTTTGTTAAAACCATCCACTTATGGTGTTTCTGTTATAGCAGCACTAGATAACAGAATTTGTTACTGGGAGTAGGATGCTGCTCTAACATAGAACTAATATGTGGAAGTGGTTTTGGAAGTAGGTAATGGGTAAGAGCTGGAAGAGTTTCAAGGTGCCTAATAGTAAAAGCCTAGACTGTCTTGAAGAGACTGTTGGTGGAATTACAGATGTCAAAGGCAATTCTGATGAGAGCTCAGAAGGAAGTGAGGTGAACTGTAACACTGGAGAGGGCACAAGAAATGGCATCAACAGAACCAGGAGGCAAGGACATTGCCCCAGAGCCAACATGCAAGAAAAGCTTCCCTGAAAATTTGGACTTGTAGGCTCCTAAACTGTGAGAGGGGAGCACTGGTAGCATAGTGTGTAAGGCACTTGACTGCTACCTAGAAGGCTGGTGGTTCAAGCCCACCAGCCACTCCTTGGAAGGAAGGTTGGGCAATCTACTTCCGTAGTGATACTGCCTTGGAAACCCAAGGAGGGGTTGCTATGAGTTGGGTCCAACTTGACAGCAAACAAGAACAACAACAACAACAAACTGTGAGAAAATAAACTCCATTTCTGTTATAGCACCACTAGATTACTAAGACAACAGCTGTTAAATCAAAAAACCCAACCCACTGCCATCGAGATGACTCCAACTCAGAACAACCTTCCAGGACAGGGTAGAACTGCCCCGTAGGGTGTCCAAAGCTGTAAATCTTTATGGAAGCAGAAAGATGCCTCATCTTTCTCCTACAGAGTGGCTGGGGCATTCAAACTGCTGATCTTTTGGTTAGCAGCCAAATGCTTTAACCATTATGCCACCAGAGCACCTTAAGACAACAACTATTAGGCAGTCAATAAACTGCAAATGTTAATATTATTAGTAATAATACTCAAGAAAAATAAGATGCAGAAGGCTCATTGCCTTTTCATATGGGGACAAACCTCAATTTTCACTATTGAACTCTTATTGCTGAAAATGAATGAGTCTTGCATGAGTGAATGAATCTTTGACAGTGGCAAAGAAAATATTTAAGTACACCTACTCCTTACTTAGGAGCTCTGGTGACGTAGTGCCTAAAGCATGTGATTGCTAACCAGAAGGCTGGCGGTTGAAAGGAAGATTGGGCAATCTACTTCCATAGTGATACCGCCTCAGAAACCCAAGGAGGGGTCTCTATGTGTCAGATCTGACTTGACAGCAGTGAGTTTTGATTACTCCTCACTTATTGACATGTTTAGTTTCCAAAGACCATGTCCTTATGCAAAAAATGGAGGACGACCACATCAGATCACAAAGTGGAGGATGACTACATGACATCATTACATAACTGCAAATTACATCATTATACAACAATTACACCATTATATCCAATCATCCCTTACTGACATGATTGGGTTCCAAAGACCAGGTCATTATGTGAGAGTCAGGGGTCACACCTGGATTCTGTGCTGGTGTCTCCCCTACCCTGGTTGCTGATGCCCCTTGGGTGCTCCTGGCATGTTTTGGGATGGGCATGACATGATGGGGCCCCCTTCCCCACCATGCCTTCCCTACTACTATAGGGTGGGGGTAATGGTAGTGGTGGTTGGGTGTTGCCCACCACCCACCTCGGTGGGGACCCCACTCATCCTCTGTCAACTGCCTCTCTCTGATTGTCTTCCATTCTCCCTGGCCCTGCAGCACCACATAGCCCCTTAATCTCTCCTCTTTCCCATCTCCCCCCATCAACCTCTCCAGCACCTTCAGGTGTTTGCCTGGCCTCCCCCTTGTCATTTCACATTGTCCTACTGTTGCCCTGTGCTGTCCATTTTTCAACTAAGATGTCGTGGATGAAAGGGAGACAGTGTCCCACAGCTGGTTGGCTACTATTCCTTGTGGGACCTAGTCTTCACTAGAGCCTCTGGTATATTGTTCAGGGTGGCCCACAGAGGGTGCCCATATATGGGACCTGGATTATCAGAGACACTCACTGAGAATTTTTTTTTTTAAATTTTATTGTGATTTGGGTGAAAGTTTACAGAGCAAATTTATCTTCCATACAGCAGCTCACATACACTTTGTCTCAGGACATTGACTGTAATCTCCCACAATGCAATAGCTCTCCTTCCACTTCCTCCCATAGCCACCTCTTCCCTGTGTCTTTCCCTTCCATGCACTCCTGCCCCCCAAGCTGTCTCCCTGTGCATACACAGCCCTTCTATTCTCCCATGATTGATCTCTCCAAGGGGTGTATCTACCTAATGTAAATGTTCAGCTCATATGCCTGTCTTTTGTTTGGCTGAACCTCAGAAGTGGATTCAATTCCAGACCTGAAGGCCAGCTAGAGGCCATAGTCTCAGTGGTTCCATCAGGCTCTATCAGACCAGCAAACCTTTTTTTTTTTTTTAGTGATTTTGCATTTTGTTCCACATTGTTCTCCCGCTCTATCCAGGATCTTCTACATAGATCCCCCTCCAAGTGGTAGCCGGGCAGCATCTAGTTCTTCTGATCTCATTGTCATATAGGCTGAAGATCACAGGGTATACCATTTGCTTGACTAATTGTTTCCATGTGTCTTTGATTTTCTTCATTCTTCTTTGCTTTGGAGGAGGAGAGACCCATCATTGCATCTAGATGGCTGCTTACAAGCTTTTAAGATCCCTTTTTTTGAATTTTTTGGAAATTTGTTGTAAATGTGAAATATTCCATAAAAAGATAATTGATAAGTGAGGTGTAGGTGTACATAACTGCCTAACTACTGAGAATCATGGCCTAGCCAAGTTGACCCATAACCTTAACCATCACAGCCAGCATTACTCTTGC